TGCTAAACTCAGTCCTTGGCCATCTAGGTGTTCTCTTTGTTGAGCTCTTGAACTGGATTTTCTTTCACTGAGTATTAAGAATTAAGAATTCATCTTATCAGTCTACGGCTGAGGGAGGTCACAGGGGGACTGGTGAGGGAAGGGCCAGTGTCTCTCCCCGTCCATTGACTCCAGCCCTGGTTTACTTTGTCTTGGTATTCCTACTCTTTCTGATGGCTTCTGGCTAAGACATGATCCTCATGTCTGTAGGTCTGCTGCAAATGTGGCTGCTCCCTCCAAATGCTTATCCTTGACATTCCTGAGGAAGCGATTACTCAAGGATTTTGTTTGTCCACCTTCTTCTAGCACTGATAGAAGATTTCTTTTACAAGCTTCACCAAAAGTAGGATGTTCCTCTTTGGCATGATTTTGTAGGTTCTTTTCTGGGCCTATAATGTTATTACTGTTGCTTTAAATCGAAGTTATTTTGAATGTTACCAGACCCAAAAAGTGACCTACCAAATCATACTGAATAGGAATATTATTCTTTCAGGTAGTTGGGGAAGCCTGTGTTTTAAACCTTTGTTTCTTCACTGTGCTAATTTGAAAATACTAATAATCTAAGGAGAAGGCAAATAAATTACCAGTTTATTAATCTCAAATATCAGAAAATTGGTTAAGTTTAAAAGGAAATTTTACTTATTTGTGAAGAATTTGATAGAAAGGGTTAAGATAGAAAATTCATTAAAAGTAATGTATATATTATATGATATTATACCTTTTATGTTACTTAAGTCCTTACTCAAATATCATTTCCTGAAAGAAGACTCCCTTGACTACCAAGTCTCAAAATAGTTGAGACCTATTATCACCAGCAAACTAAATGTACTCCTTTTTACTTCGATTTTGTAGTATCACTTGGCACGATTTATATATTTATATGTTTATGTGTTAATTACAATCCCCATGAGGCCAGGGATTTTGTCTTATCTTTGTATGTACAGCTGTATCCCAACCCCTTGATACACAGTCATCCTTAACTGATAAAAGAGAAAAGAAAGAAAGAAAATAGGTAGCTAGTTTCTTAGGGAAAAGTTAAAGAAATTCAGAGTTCTCACTAATGATACTATGTTGGATATTTATATTTTTATGATTGTAAAAGTACACAAAGGAACCTGACCAAATAATCAATACTTTGCATTCACCCTGTGTTTGTAGTATAATTTAGATTGATGACTACGTGATTGTATCTTGTATTACATATCTTCCCTATATCATTTGCCTATCTCCGCTGTTTTTTTTTTAAGATTTATTTATTTATGCATACAGACCTGGGGTACAGGCCAGAGGTACAGGGGCAGCAAGTGAAATAGAGTGGGGAGCAGAACAGGAAGATCAATGAAGTACACTGCTGAGGGGAGCAGCGGGTGAGATAGGAGAGGTCTACTGTGCCATGTGGGTCACCTCCAGTGTTGGGGGTCAAACTCACACTGAAGTTGCCGTGGCAAGCTTGCAATGCTGCATCCTAACCATTTGCACCACCAGGGAGGGCTTATCCTCTGTTTTAAACAGCAGTGATATTGCTAGTGTTAGGTTGAAACACTTTATTCTTAAGTCTTGTCAAATACAAGTTTTTTTAATAGATGTTTGAATTTGGAACAAGTAGTTCTATATTTATACATTTTTGGTATCTATCTAGTGATGGTATAAAACAAGTAGTTGATAAAGGTTTCTTTCTTGGGTGAAATGAGATAATCCTTTAAGTCTTAAGGATAATTTGTTTTTGTGAGTAAGAACTACTTTTGTGGTATTCTTACAAATTTAACAGTTGGGAGGTATTGGTGTTATGGAAAGAAGTATGACTTCTCATTTTCTAGGATTTAGTCTTCTTGAAACTTCAGTGTAGTAAATTCTGTTTTTGCAAACAGGAAAAAATAAATTCTAATATAAGTAGGTGTATATATACTCCAGGGGTAATTTAAAGTTGGGAATAATAGCCTCCTCTTGGAATTTAGGCCTTATTTTGAGTTACTGAAGAAAATAAAGAGATATTCTTTTGTGGCGTTTGTCAAGAATAGAGCATATAGATGTTCTACATATGATTTTGGTTCTCCTGGGGATGTTTAGAGCAGGGTTGAAGAAGTGATTTCCACAGCCTTCCTGATTAGATTTTCTCTGATACAGGCAAGGAGAGAGAAAAAGATTTTCTGCTTTTTAATAGTTTTCTACCTAAGTGACTTCTGTTTGCTATTTGTGAGAGGTATTGTTTACTTTATAGTGCTTTCCTTTTGGGGACAGTTTTCACAGAAATTTAAGTAAGAGATAACCAATATCTACTCTGTTGTTAGTTTCATGTCCTTGAAACATTGTTAAGGACAGTTTGGATTGCTGCAGTGATATATTTTTGTAAGAGAGTGGGAAGTAGGGGTTAAAAATATCAAAGGAGCTCAAACTCTGATGGAAGTTAATATCTGAAATTGCTTTATTTCATCTTTAAGTTCAAAATTATCCCCAAAGCATCTGGCTTTACATTTGTAAATGCCCTTGTAAGGATTTCGGTTAGCTGTCATTCAAGAGTAGAGATCACTTAGACCTCATTAACAGACAATATTCCCTCAGAAAATGACATGGTATCTACTGTAATCCAAGAGTGTTTTAATAGTCTATTCTATGCTCAGCAATGAAACATTTCAAAAGTGACTGGCAGGCAGTTGATGTAATTCATGGTGATCTTTTGTGTTGACAGATCTTTAAAAAGTCATGGGAAATTACTACTGTACCCAGTGAAGCTGCCTCTTTTTATTTTTTTTTAACTGCCAATATCCAGTAAAACAGGACAATTTTCTCTTTGACTGCCACTGTTTTTTATTTCAATAACATGACATGATTCCTCCTTATTATTAGTATTTCTTTTGATAGATAGAATGTGTTCTCTGTGTTAATGTTAATTTTAAAATAGAAAGTCTTCAGTTCTTCAAATTAACTCTCTTACTTTTCTGTCTTCCACATCAAGACAATCTTGCCAGTAGCCACCTTCCCACTCAGGAAGAGGAGTGATTTAATTTAGACAATTAAAATGATTATAACAATGTTAGTCCTCCTCCAAGGAAGAAACACATTGCAAAGAAGATGGTGATGAATTGCTTATTTTGGTGGATATTTTTTCCTAAAGCACTCTAAAATTAAAAGACCAACATTTAGATATTTTAAAACATGGTAACTGTCCAAAACTCAGTCCCTGAATTTTAACTGCGGAATGGATGGAAAGGTCCTATTTCTGAATATGAATTTATCCATTGAGTTGTAAGGAATGACACAACACCCCCTGAGACCTACTGAAGTATTATACTAATGATTTATCATTGTTTTGAAATATCACTTGATTATAAAGCCTTCATCTTTAGTTCTAATTCCCCTTTGTGTCATCTACAACTGGTTCCTGGTTCATTATCCTAATAGACTAAAAGATGATGTGAGTTCATCCATTGCCATAAACACCAAAATTTTCTCTTGCCAGAAACCCACCAGCATAGTCGAGTGAAAATGAAAAGTTTAAAATGTAGAACAGAGGGCCCTCCCTGGTGGCGCAGCGGGTTAAAGCACAGCATTGAGAATCTAAAGCCACTTCTGCATGCGTTTGATTCCCGCCTGCCCCGGAGGTGACCACATGGTGTGACAGACCTCTCCTGACGCACTCGCTGCTCCCCTCAGCAGTGTACTTTGTAGATCTGCCTGTTCTGTTCCCACTCTGTTTCTGGTGAAGCCTCTCACCGCCCCTGAGCCTCTGGCCTGTACCCTAGTTCTGTATGCACAAATAAATAAATCTTTAAAAAAAAAAATGTAGAGCAGAGAGGCCTAAGCTTTACTACATTTTCTGTTTGCATTTCTTAGACTATGTGGCTTATGAATTTTTTCATAGTTGAAATAAGTAGTTTGGCATCATTAATCTTTTATTTTCTCTTATTGTTTACACAGAGTAAAGGCAAATTATGGAGAGGTCTAATTGATGGCAGACACAAAACTGATTTTTCAACCTAATATATTCAAGTACTCCATGCAAGGTCTGCCATCTTATGCTTATGTTAGAAGACACTATCAGAAGCCTTTTATATGAGTCCATAATTTGAAGTGGACAACTTGAATTTGAGATCTACTTCCAGTTAGGTTATGGTATCTAGAGAAACTCATTTAATTTTTGTAAATGTTATAGTAAAATGGAAGTGATAATTTTGCTTATTTAACATGGCTCTGCAGATTGCTGAGAAGATAATTTAGGAGAATGAATTGCGAAGTGCTTTGTAAAATGTCTTTCTATACAAACAGTGCTGTTATTCTTCCTCTTTCTTCTCTCAAAATAATTTCCAAATGACTTGTTATCTTACCAATACTGTCTTTAAGGATATTTTTCTGTAAGAAAAGGAAATTGTATTAACAAAAGCACATTTAATCCTCGTGATAACACTTTGAGTTAGAAATTTTTATTGACATATGCAGATAAAGAGACAGGCTTTATTATAACAATTTATAAGTAGTAAAGCCTCTGGCTTCTCTAAAATCAGTGTCATATTCTCTCTTCCATAAACTAATGCAGTTTATTAATATACTGTAGTCTATTCATTGTCTCTCTGTTTTTCAAGCCTAATTTTGAAACTTCTTGCCATTTCAGTTATTCTTGTTCTTCCAGTGGGGATTCATTAATTTAATTCATTTGGTAATTATTTATTGTCAGCACTATGGTAAACTCTAGCAGTTTTGTTCTCAGTGTAGTCTTTTTAAGTAGCAGAAAACATCTAAAAAGTGATAGCTATTTCTATAATGGAGGGAAATAGAATAAGTTTTGAGAGATCAGAGAAGACTGCATAGCAGAAGAAATACCTAAGTGATAATTTAACAGATGCTTTGTACTGTACATATGACTTAAGCCATATGCCTTTTGTTTTTCTTATACCAACAGGTTCATATTGGGTCTTTCATCCTGGAATAAATAGTCGAATGACTCTTACTTTGCTTTTACTTTCTAGCTTGTTCAGATTATTATCAATACAACACACTTGGAGAAATCCTGTAAGTACTTGGAGGAATTCATCACCAATATCACAAATGTGCTACCAGAGACGGTCCACACCACAAAGCTCTATGGCACTACAACTTTTAAGGTGAGACATCCCTGTAGTACCTTAGAACTGCTTCTTGGACATCCTACCTAACATAGAGCTTTTCTCCCATAATATATTATTAGTGTGATTTATAATATGTTCTTGAGATTGGAAATTTGCTACGGGAATAGAACTTAAATGTTCTCAAAAAAATAAAAGATAAATATGTGAAATGATAAATGTATTAAGTAATTAAATGGTAGGAAACCTGGGACTGCTCTCACTGCATATTTATATCAGGTTACCACAATGCACATTTAAAATATTTTATAATTAAAAAAATGTATTTATTTATGCATACAGAGCTGGGGTACAGGCCAGAGGTGCAGGGGCAGTGAGAGGATTCACCAGAGACAGAGTGAGGAACAGAACAGATAGATCGAAGAAGTACACTGCTGAGGGGAGCAGCAGGCAGGTCAGAAGAGGTCTGCTATGCCATGTGGATCACCTTTGTGGCGGGGATAGAACTCATGGTGAACTGGCTTTAGCTTCTTAATGCTGTGCTTTACCTGCTGCGCCACCAGGGAGGGCCCTGTTTTATAATTTTATTTTAAATAGAGCTGAAGAGAAAAGGTGAAATGTTTAACCCCCAAACATTCTTTATTGTTATTCTTATTATATTTATATTTTTATTGTTTTTTAAAATTATTACTATATTATTTATACATGATTAGTTCAGTTGCCAAATGAGTTACACATTTATAATGTTACTATGGATTGTGTAAAATTATGAACAAAATTACTTAAAATGGAATTCATTGTATTTCATTTTATGTTGGTATTTTACTTTCAAACTTTTCCATGACATCTCGCTATATTAATGTTGATACTCTTTTATTGAGGAAAGGCTATTTAATAAAGAGTTCCCAAAACTGAGTATGAAAATGTGACAGGAACTTCTTTATTTTCTTAAATTTCTTACTATTCATTTTTGTACAGTATTTGATTTTTCCCCTCAGGTGTAGTCCCTGTGATCCATCACTATAGGGTCCCTTATACTCTACCCGCCCCTGTTGAGACCCATCACCAATTTCTCCCCTCCTGTTTGCCTTAGAGGTGTGGTCAATTTGCAAGTTTTGGAAAATATGACAATAACTTTAACAGTGTTAAGATGACTGTAGAAATTATAATTATTCTTAAATATTGGCATTACAGTGGTGCATAGTTAGTAATTTTCTACTTGATTTACTGTGGAAGCCAAAATTTCTTCAAGAAAAAAAATGTGGAGAATAAAGAGCTAGGAAGTTAGAATGTAAGGTTCATTTATAATTGTCTATCATATCGTGTATAGGAAGTATGTTCTATTTTTTCCTTAACCCAGTTCAGTTTTCTTATTTCTATGGCATTCCAAAATTATGGTCAGAAATCTTCCCTAAGGATGGCTGTGTATTTTGTTGTTGCTCCAGCATTAACATTGCTGAGGGAAAATGAAAGGCAGACAGGAAGCCATAGGGTTTGAACAGCCAGTTAAATACTTAGTAAAAGAGAAATTCTGGAGACCACTAAAGGTCATGTTGACAGTGCTTATTGGAAACACTGATTGCTTAAAGCACACTGAAAGTTTATTTTTACCAGGGCTGTTTCAGACCAGCTAACCCAGAACTCGGTATAAACACGGCAATTATAATAGCTACATGTTGTGTATTTTCCTAAGCTACTGTTTCCAGAAAACTTTCCCTTACAGATGGAAACCTTTTTACTGGAAAAGGGGTAAAAAGGATCAAAAGGTCTTCAAGGTATTTCCTGGCAGTTTTCCCTCTTGTTTCCATTATATGTGACATAGTCAAGCTGGCATTCTTAGGTTTTCTTGTTCATAAGAATTTCCTCACTTTTACAAATATAATGAGGTATTTATTAATTTACTCCATTGGAAATATAATTTGTCTGTGTTTTGTGTGCTAATCTGGTAGACTTGAAGAGCGTGAGAAAATTTATTTAGTTTTTGGACTAGGAAAGATAGATACTCCAACTTCTATAAAAAATTGTGTAGAGGCCCTCCCTGGTGGCGCAGCGGGTTAAAACACAGCACTGAGAATCTAAAGCCATTTCCGCATGAGTTCCATTCCCGCCTGCCCTGGAGGTGACCACATGGTGTGGCAGACCTCTCCTGACCCGCCAGCTGCTCCCCTCAGCAATATACTTCATCGATCTACCTGTTCTGTTCCCCACTCTGTCTCTGGTGAAGCCTCTTACTGCCCCTGAGCCTCTGGCCTGTACCCCAGTTCTGTATGCACAAATAACTAAATCTTTAAAAAAAAAAACAACTGTATAAAAAAAAAAACAACTAGAATATATTCAACCCCTCATTGATTGTATACATTTTTATAAAGCATTAACACATACCAGGCCATTTACAGTTATCAGCAAAATAAGTGATTTTTCTGACTACAAAGTCTAGAGGGTTGAAAGATGATAAAGACAAATAAAAAATCTGGTATAAGAACTAGGAAAAAAAATGAAATTCAAAATGCAATCATTTGAACTCCTGGTATATAAGTATTTCAGAAAGAATAGTAGAATAAAAAACATGGTCATTTTCAAGAAGTAGCAAGGAGTACCATCTGTCATTGGTGGGAGGATAGGTAAAAGGTGACATTAGTCAGGAATTATATTATTTCTGGCCATGTAAGAAACAGTAAATTAATTTTATTCTAAAATAAAATGTGAATTTCATTAGAAGATTGAGAGTAAGGGTGATGATATGATTTATGTTTTAATGGTTATCACTGGTTCCTATGTGGGAAGTAAATACATTATAGCTCAGTATAAATGGAAGAAGAGGGTCCAATTTTGAGGCTATTGCAACAGTATAGGTAAAATATGCTTGTTGCTTAGACTATAGTAGTAGGGGTGAAATTAGTAAGAAATAATTTTGATAGTAGAGATGGTAGGTTTTACGACTGCACCAGATGTGGGCTTATAAGAGGAATAGTAAATAAAGTCAAGGGTAATTTGAAGTAAACAAATTAGATGAGTAATGTTGCTTTTCCCAGATACTAGGATCAGTGAAGGAACAACAGATATGGGAAGGAACTACTATTTGGACGTATTAAGCTTGAGATATTTAGTAGTTATCTGCATAGTGATAGTAACTTGACAAGGTAATCATAGCTAGAGCTAAATATTTATCATTCACCAATATTGAGATGTTATTTAATGCTGTGGGGCTCTTCTGGAAATTGAATATAGATAAAGAAAAGATGCAAGAATTGTTTTACAAATCAACACAGACATGTCTAGAAGAAATGCCAGTGCAGATAAAATTGAAGAAGACACAGATATATTGGAAAAAAATTATGAATTCATGAATTGGAGAAATTAATATTGTTGAAATGTCCATAACACCCAAAGTTATGAACAGACTCATTACAGTCCCTAGCAAAATTCCAGTGGCACTTTTCAATGAAATATTTGTATACCACCTATCTGATAGTGGGGTTTAATAGGCAAAATAAGCAAGGAATTCATTCAACTCAATAGCAAAAAACAAACAAACAAAAAAGCAAAAATTAAAAATCCAACTAAACCAATTTATAACTGGGCAAACACCATAGGCATTTTTCTAAAGATGATATACAAATGGCCAACAGGTACATAAAAAGGTACCCTACATCTCACAAAATGGAAGTCAAAACCACAATGAGATATCACCTCACATTTGTTAGGATATTTGTTATCAAAAAGACAATAGATAATATTCCATCAAAGGATTTGGTAGAAAAACAGGCCCTGTGGGAATGTAAATTAGTATAACTGCTTTAGAAAACAGTATGTAGGTTCTGCAAGAACTAGAAAATACATTGTTTTTGTTGAGTCTTTTGAGTTCTTTGCAGATCTTTATGTTTAGTCCCTTGTCAGTTGTAAGTACTGCAAGCTAGTGCAATCAATATGGAAAGTGTCTTCAGTCTATTAAAAACAGAGCTACCATATGACACAGAAATTCTAATCCTTAGCAATCTACCCAAAGGAAATAAAGACATTAATTCAAAAGAATACATTCACCCCTATGTTTATTGCAGCACTATGTTTAGTAGGTAAGACTTGGAATCAACCCATAGCCTAAAAATAGATGACTAGATCCAGAAAATATGGTACATACACACAATGGAGTGCTATTCAGCAATAAAAAGGTAAACTACACAGCAATGTGGATGAAGCTTGACGGAATTATGCTTAGTGAAATAAATCAGAAGGAAAATACTGAATGTTTTCACTTACAAGAGGAATATAGATCAAGGGAAAATAATAACAAAAAAACAACAAAACAAAAATAGACAGCTATAAATCAGGTATTCTGCAGAGAAGAGGTGCATAAAAGGGATCAAAATGAGAGAGGGAAGAGCATAAGGGACTGTGGTGATGGTGCACAGGTGATTTGGTAATGGAAATTCTATGGAAACTACACTGAAGAAAAGAAAGCAAGCATTGTAAGAAAAAAAAAGAATAAGAAAATACATATTGGGAAGGTAGAAATAAACCTGATTTTGTTTGAGGATGACATGATTGTCTAAGTATAAAATGCCAAAGAATTAACCAAGAAATTGCTGGAAATATTGAGTATAGCAAAGTATAGAGGTTAGATGATAAAAGCTAATATAAAAATTATTTGCTTTGCTTTATGCAAGCATTTAAAATAAAAAATACAACACTATTTACATTGACACCAAAAAAGGAAAAATAATGTACACCTACATACAAGGTCTATATGAGGAAAACCTGTAAAGCTGATGAAAAGAAATATAAAAAAGAAACATCTAAATAAGTTGAGTTATATTCCGTATTCATGGACAGGAAGACTCAATATTTTATCCTATCAGTTTTTACCAGTTGATCTATAGATTCAAAACAATCCCAATTCAAATATCAGCAAATCATTCATTGAATATTAATGAGCTGATTCTAAAGTTCATATGGGAAAGCTGAATACACAATACAAAAGGTGATGAACAACATTGGAAAACTTAGAGTACCTAACTTAAGATTACAGTAATTAAAACTGCGTAGAATTGACAAAAGAATAGGTAAAAAATCAAGGGGGAACATCTCACAGAGCCCAGAAATAGAGCCACAAAAATAGTCATGTGCAATGTAATGATATTTCAGTCATTGACAGATCATATCTATGGCAGAGGTCCCTATAGATAGTCTAGGTATATAGTAGGCTACACCATCTGTGTTCCTGTAATTATACTCTATGATGTTCATATGCCAAGAAAAGATATCATCCAATGTCCAAATCTCAATTATTCCCATTATTAAATTGTACATGATTGTATGGTCAAGTAGTTATTGATAATAGCAAAGTCAGATTAATGGAGAAAGGAATGTCTTCAACAAGTAGAATTGAAATAACTGAACATCCATATATAAAAAAGAAAAATTAATGCAGACAGAGATGTTAAACTTTTCATAACAATTTAGGAAAGTCATGGATTTATATGTAAAACACAGAACTGTAGCATTAGTAGAAGGTAATGTACGAGGAAAATCTATGTGACCTTGGTTTTAGCAATGACTTTTTAGATACAGCACCAAAAAACAAACAAACAAACAAATAACCCAGAGTGCTTTAAAGAAAAAATTAACTTGAATATCATAAAATGAAAAACCCTGCTGTAGAGTCTGTTAGGAGAATTAGAACACAAACCACTCACTGGAAGATAATATTTCCTAAATGAGAAAGGATTTATATCATATACAAAGAATGGATAAAACCAATTATTACAAAATAAATAATTCAGTTGAAAAATGGGCAAAAATACATGAACAGACACTTTAACAAAGATTCGTGAGAGAATTGTAATTCAAAACAAGATACTACTATATAGCTATTTTCATAGCTAAAGCCAGAACACCAGAACAATAGTGAATCTCATTCATTGCTGCTGCTCATGTAAAAATGGTTCAGCCACTTTGGAAGGCAGTTTGTCAGTTTCTTACAAGTCTAAGTATAGATAGTCTTACATATAATGTACCAAGCATGTTTGATGGTTTTACTAAGGGAATTAAGACTTAACCAAACAAAAACTTATACATGAATGTTTAGAGGAATTTTATTAATAATTGCCAAAACTTGGATGCTAGCAGGTTCTCCTTTATTAACTGAATGGATACATATTCCAGACATTGGAATATTATTCAGTGATGAAAATGAATGAATTCTCAAGCCTTGTAAAGACATGGAAGAGCCTTACATTTAAATTTCTAGGTAAAGGAAGTCAATGTGAAAAGACTGCATATGATGTAATTCTAAGTATATGACATTCTGTAAAAGGCCAAGTCATGGAGAATTTAACCTGCTGTGCCACCAGGGAGGGCCTGGAGAATTTAAAAAGATGAATATTTGCCAGGATTTGGAGGCTGAGTGTGGGCAAGATGAATCCAAAGAACAGATATTTTTGGAGGGTAGTAAGACTTTTCTCACATTAATGTACCATGCTAATGCAAGATGTCTTAGTAGGGGATAAAATGAGAGTAGACAAAGGGAGAAACAGTACTAGCAAATGTCCTGTACTTTCTGCATGACTTTTACTAACGCCTAAATTCCAAACATGATATTGAGAAAAAAAGAACTCTGAGTAAAATGGAATCCAAAGACATAAGTGCTGGAGTGTCTATCGAGACACTACATTAGCATACAAGCTAATGCCTATATTAAAGTATGTAAATACATTAAAAAGGTGAAAATGTAAAGGGGGTATGGAAGAGACATTAGGATTTAGAATTGATAGTATACAATGACTGATTATTAAGGAAAAAACAGAATCCAATTTGGTCTCAGGTTTTTGTATTGAACTACACTGACAGGTGGAGTGAGGATTATGATTTGTCTGGTCCTGGACTTAGGCAGTAAAGGCAGTTTATTCATTTGGTGAAGCAAAATAATATGTTGTCTTTCAGACACAAAACAGAAAAACCTCCACTCCTGAAAAAAGAAAAATTAATTGAGTCTGTGCTATTACTTAATATTCCTACCTCTGTTACTTTGTGGATATATATGAGATATGTCCAAGCATAAAACATTGACTTGCTCATACTGGAATTCTGATTGATGTTTGTGATTGATTGTTTTACAGGATGCCAGACATGCAGCTGAAGAGGAGATTTATACCAACTTAAACCAGAAGATTGATCAGTTTCTACAGCTAGCTGACTATGACTGGATGACAGGAGACCTGGGCAACAAAGCTAGTGATTACCTAGTAGACCTCATTGCCTTTCTCCGTAGCACCTTTGCTGTATTCACACACCTTCCTGTAAGTTACAGTTGTCTATTTGCCCATCATATAGGAAAAAAATTCCCTTAAAATACAGTTTAATGATAAGAGATTTATTTCTGCTTTAACTGGATAGAAAGCAAGTTATAATTTTTTTTTAAAGATTTATTTATTTATTTGTGCATACATAACTGGGGTGCAGGCCAGAAGCGCTGGGGTGGTGAGAGGATTCACCAGAGACAGAGTGGGGAGTAGAACAGTCAGACTGATTGCTGAGGGGAACAGCAGCCAAGACAGAAATCTAAGAGCTCACTCTGTAATTATCACCCCTTAACAAAATTTAAAGAGCTCTTCTATCATTTTTTTCATTGACAACATTTTTATTCTGAAAATGGTCCCTTATAACTTGCCTGCTTATATTCCTCTTAACTTCAATACATAATGAATGCCTTTGTAGAAATAGGAGAAAAACTTAGGTGTTAGATATTCTCTTGGTTTTAAATGTCTGTTCATTGTTTATAACCCAAGTATAATTTGTCAGCTTTTCTCCTTATTTTCTTTAGCACATTAATCTGTCATTTTATAGTCATTGTTTACTGATGCCAGCATGTACTTCATACCTGTATTAATAGATTCAATCCTGATCTTTTTTCTTTGGTGTTGTCTCTTATATGGTATCCTTTCTTATACTACTGTTTAGTTGTTGTTAAACATTGTGTCTAAAATATGTAGGAATTTGTTTATGTTTTCCACCATAATGGTTAATCCTTTTCTTACTAAGTAGGTAGAAGGGCTAATGAATTTTGATTTGAGCTCCATCACCTTAATTCAATGATAAACAGATCTGAGTCAAGCTTGGGCTGCAGGTATAGTGTATAATTGGTTTACACTGGGTGCTAGGATGTAGTTGTTTAGAGTTTTTAATGATAAACAGATACCATTGTCTCCAACAAAAGAATGATGGAAATTTCCAGTTTTTAGAAAACTTATCTCTTCAGCTTACTTATGCCTTCAGAATTTTGCAAATGTGTTGTGAAGCACAATACTTAGATCAGCATTTTCCACTAGGAAAAAAGTGGTTGGAGATTGTCACTGTCAATTTATCACTTCCTCAAATCCTTTAACTCCTGTGAGATTTGCATGGATTCTCTTATTGGTGAATTGTTTCCTCTGAACTACTGTGAGAATGAAGGAAATCTCTCTTTTGAGAAGGGTTGAAAGAGACCCTTATTTGACTGAGACCCTTATTTATCTCAGCCTTACCTGTGTAGCCTTAGAAATTGGAAAGTGTTTTAAGGAGAAAGCTGACCCTCAAATCTATAATTTTGGCTCCTAAATCTAACGAAAACTAAAAAAAAAAAAAAAAAAAAAAATTTTTTTTTTTTTTTACATCCATCTAGTAGCTACTTTCTGCCTCAGCCTAACCCAGATGTTGAGTTTGTTCCTATGTCTAGACTTGGTTAATATCCCCAGAGATAGCTGCAGCTCCTTGGCTCACCTTTAAAAGGTCTGCCCTCTTTAAAGTTTTATTCCCCTTAGTGTTCATTGCTTTAGTTGATTTCTTCATAGCCTTCTGGTATCTTTAAATATATGTTTTTCCTAGGCTTTTTAATGTTTTTTTTTTCTAGTTCTTAGCAGCAGCACTGGAATGCAGAAAAACAGATCATTTAATTTAGTTTCATATAAGAGCAATATGAAGGTAGCACAACAAAGGAAACTACAAAGTAATCTCACAATTAAGCATAAAAAAATAAGACAAATAAAATTTTAGCAAGTCAATTACAATTTAGTTAAGAAAGTAACTTAATATTATTATATAGGCTTTATTTAGAAATGCAAGGATGGCTTGATAATTAAAAATCTATTAATTTATTAATATAAATTATTGCATTACTAGGTGAAGGAGAAAGTATATGATCAATCTTATGTATTATTAAAAGGCAGTGTATAACATTTAGCCTATTTATTATAATTTATTGCATTACTAAGTGAAGGAGATAAAGTATATGATCAACTTTATATATTCTTAAAAAGCAGTGTATAACATCTAGCCAGTGTCCTTGATTTAAAAAATTAACTCTAATGCTAAAACTTATTTGTAAACAACAATCAACATTTAGAAGTAGTACTATAAATTAAACTCTTGTTTTTCTAATTCAAAGAATATGCTTTTTCCATCTGTAAAGTGTGACCTTTCTTGTAGGGCTGCAATGTAAATTATAGAATTGGTTGTTTACTTTGAGCTGCCACTGCTATCTAAATGCTGTAACCTTTCTCTGTGAATTTAGTCAACTCTACCATTCAGAACCACTTTACCATTTACCATTTATTGTAGAATTAAATTTCACAGCCCTAGAAATCCTCAGTATTTCTTCCATAAATGTCATATTTCTGTCTTGTCTAAAAGAGACCTCTTCCCAAAGCTACACTTTCCAAAGTAGTTTTATCTACCAACTTATATGTTCCTTAGAAATCAGTGAGTGTGATTTATAAAACTACCCCTTCTTCGGGTTTTCCACAGCAAAATAGATCACCCGAGATTTGTGTTTATGTTCCCTATCCTGCTAGACAGCTTCTTATGGAACTTCGTATTAGTAAAGTGTATGAGCAAACAGCTCTAAGATTGGCTCTTATCCTTTATTAGCAAAAGGTGAGAGAGAAGGGAACACTTTCTGGGAAAGAACTAAAATGATTTGTTTTTTAATTAATATGGATTTTTTTTTTTTTAAATATCTGAAGCTCTCTCCCAAGAGTGGTTATCTGTCAAATAGGGATTACATGATAGGGAATATTTATATGGAAATATCTGTTAAAAAAGGGGGGGGGAGTGTTAACTTAGTGTCCTGTTCTCTTGTATTGTGAAATTTAGTTTTTCTTTGTTCTCAGGGATGTCTTTTCCTCACAACAGTAACCTAGCCTCTTTGGGGGGGAGGCAGGAGAGGAGTGGGGTAGAGAGTGAGAGTTCGAGCATGTCCTAGGTTATACTCCCATAGACAGTTAATTATTGGAGGGGAAAATATTGATATTTGCAACTACTTCCCCCCCCCCCCGAAATTTTGGTGACTAAGGTGATATAATACTATTTTGATGAGGTTTACAAAAAAGACTTAATGCTAAGATTTCTATGGAGTTCTAAATGTTGCTTTGTTTTTTGAATTAATAGATGAGGTAAACCCACAGTATTTTTTTCAGGCTCCAATTGTGTAATTTGCAATTGTATGGCAGCTTTCCATTTTGCATGCTCCACATAAGAGCATACTTTTGTGAATTTATCCTTGTTATCTTAATAATTATCTCTCAAAGTTTTTTAGAGAGAGGAAATGCTGTCTCAAGTAGCAGACTTAGAGGAGGGAATCCTGAACTTGTTTTCTCTGTCTGCTGTTAATGTTAATTTATATGACTTGGGGCAAAATCTCTCCTGGTTTGCCTTAGCTTCTTTGTCTAAAAATACAGTGATATCTATCCTTGGCCTACCTTTTTTAAGAAGTTAGTTGATGGTCTCTATTTAAGGGAAAGTTATTTTCTACGTGCAAGTCCTATAATTCTCCCTATATAAAACTCCTTTTGAAGCTGACATTCTCTTCACATTCCATTTAATTCTTTGAACTTCTGTCATCAGAGGACTAACCAAATGATTCTACTTCTGTAGAAACTGTCAGTGTCTGCTATTAAGTACAAAATCTCTGTGACCACCAAGACTTTCCATAATGGAACCCAACTTTTTGTCTTTATCTTTTACTCTCAATTTTCTGTTTTCCCAGTATAATCCTCCCAAATTTTTTTATTTGTGTTAAATGTAATCCCAATTAGTAAAGACTCAAATTCTTCAATCAAAGCTATAGTCACTACATTTTAGGAATAAGAACATTAACTCAAGGAAGTTATGCACTTATAAGTTACAGAAAATTGGTGGCATGACCATTTAAAGAGATTTAACTGACTTTTACCTTTCCCATTATACCATCCTACCTACCAGAAATTTCAAGCTAAGAACTGTGAAATTGTGACTAGATACACTATGTTAGTCACATTTATCTCTATGTGGGGTATAGTACCTTGTATGAAATGGTACACTAGAAATGTAAGAGACTTTACTTGTCTTGAATAAATGAATCCCTACCAGGGAATTAAAAGTAATTTTTGGACCATATATTCCATTAAAAGCCATAATTTAATTATTAAAAAGAAAAGCTATAAACATTCTAAAATAAAGACCAAATGTTTGGGTTACAATTTTAAATTGGTCTTTTACCTTCCATATATACTGAAGTCTCCTGAAATAATGAAGATCATTGTTTTTCTTTTTTTTTGAAAAAGATTTATTTATTTATTTGTGCATACAGAACTGGGGTACAGGCCAGAGGCTCAGGGGCGGTGAGAGGCTTCACCAGAGACAGAGTGGGGAGCAGAACAGGCAGATTGACGAAGTACACTGCTGAGGGAAGCAGCTGGCGGGTCAGGAGAGGTCTGGCTCGCCATGTGGTCTCCTCCGGGGCAGGCGGCAGGCGGGAATCGAAATCATGCGGAAGTGGCTTCAGATTCTCAGTGCTGTGCTTTAACCCGCTGCGCCACCAGGGAGGGCCAAGAAGATCATTGTTTTTCAAGTGACAGAATTTTTTTTTAAGATTTATTTGTGCTTACAGAACTAGGGTACAGGCCAGAGGTATGGAGGGTGAAAGGATTCAGCATAGACAGAGTGGGGAGCAGAACAGGCAGATTGACAAAGTACACTACTGAGGGAAGCAGTGGGCTGGTCAGAAGAGGTCTGCCACACCATGTGGGTCAGTTCCCTGGCTGGGGGTCAAACTCATGCTGCAGTGGCTTCGGATAGCTTCATAGTGCTTTAATCTGTTGCATCACCAGGGAGAGCCCCACGTGACAGAATTTTAATTATAAAATTACCTTGGTTTGGTGTATTCCTTTATAACAGTTACTTCTTTTCTTTATTGCCATTATTTTGTTTGAGTTTTTAGACAACCAGTATGATATATACATATAGAGACAGCTATTGTTTTCCCCCTTTGACAGATATGGAAACT